CTTCTACTTTTTTTACTCAAGTCTCTTAAGAGACTAAGTGTTTCTTGTTGTTCTCTTCCTCTTTACTTAGGGTCTTGATCCAAGCACGCTTGCATAGCTGCAAACAATGCTACATGAAGTTAACCTATACGTACACATATTTCAAAATGCAACTCAAATCTTAAGAGAAAATCCTGCACAAGATTTATAAATTATTATAACCAAAACATGACAAGAACTTTAATATAATACGCCGATTGTCTCCAAGGTTGCTGTACTTGTGCATCCAGAAGCAGGCGAGCGTTTTTACTTATACCTATTGTTGAGTATCATGCGTGAAGCAAAATCGTTTAATCATCTAAGAACTGTGAATAGATATTTGCACTCTACTTTTAAAAATACATGCTGTGCTCTAGGCTTATTACAAGATGATTTTGAATGGGATAAGTGCTTAGAAGATGCTGCCAAAATACGATCAGAAAGTCAGCTTTGTTACTTATTTGCTGTTATTTTAAGCAACTGTCAATCTAACAAACCTGAGCATCTGTGAGCAAAGCATCGTACAGCACTTACAGATAATATTTTGTATTATACACGTTAGTGATCATGGAATTCTGATCTACAATTAAATGACCAGAAAATTGAAAATGAAGCACTACTTCAATTAGAAAACATTCTGTTATAGCAAAATAATAAATTGTTAAAAGACTTTTTTTAATATGCCATGCCTAGATTCTGTTTGCAAATTCAGAAACTCTTTAGTTAATGATGAGTTGAATTATAATATATCTATGCTTGCAGAGTTTGTAGAGCAGAATTTAACCCGTTTAAATAGTGACCAACATGCTATCTTTGATAAAATAATCCAAGCAGTAGAAAATAATAATCCCACATGCTTTTTTATAGATGAACCTGCAGGAACTGGCAAAATGTTTCTATACAATATTTTTCTTGCAAAGGTTCAAGCACGTAGAAGTATCGCTCTAGCAGTTGCTTCATCCAGAATTGTTACCCTATTGCTT